CATATTAGAAAAAAATTCTAGGGTCTGTAATTTTGAAATACAGTGTGTGCCGGAAAAGAAAAACGAAAATTTGGTCTCAATTGTGTGTAATCTGTTAAAAGAAATAAAAATATCAATTAGTGAAACCAACATTAAAGCTGTAAAGCGAGTTGCAAAAATTGATAAAAAATCAAAAAGGCTTCGTGGAATACTTGTCACTTTACCATCGGAGCGCGACCGAGATGACGTGATATCTGCTTACAAACGCTATACGTACAACAAGAATAATAAATCTACCCAATTGAACTCTGCTCATTTGGGCGTTCATGGAGAAGAGTACTTCGTTTATGTTTCAGAACACCTTTTACCGGAAACAAAACAGTTTCATGCCGCAGCAAGATTAACTGCCAAAAACTTGTCATATAAATATGTCTGGATTAAATATGGCCGTGTATATATGAGGAAAGACGATAATTCAACTGCCATACATGTTAAAATTCAATCATTTTGAACACTTTAAAATAATGTTTTCTTTTTGGTTTTTTTTCTTGTTATTTTATTAAACCTTTTGAACTTTTATTTCATACTTTATAAATAGTTTATTAATCGATATTTATTACCAAAATGTAAATAGAATCAGGACGAATGTCACTGATATTTATTTAAATACTTTAAGTTGTGACTTTGATGTTATATAGTTCACTGAAACCAATTTAAATGACAGTGTCTTTAATTCTGAAATGTTTGATTATCAATTTACTGTATTCAGAAGGGACCGCCATACTAGTTGTATTTCTAAGCATGAAGGCGGTGGCGTATTAATTGCTGTTAAGGAAAAATTTCATGTAATTAGACAAGCGAGTTGGGAATGTGAAGTAGACTTTGGGTGACTATCCTTCCGAGCAATGTTTCCTGTCGAAAGCTCCACTTATGTTTATGTTATCTCCCTCCCGATATTTCTTGTGACCACTTGCAAGTCTTTTACGACAATGTTCATAAAAACATATCTCGTGGTGAGGATAAAGACGCATTCTTACTTGTTGGCGATTTTAACACCCCACATCTGAGTTGGTCGCCTAGTGCTCATAGTAACGTTATGACGCCGGGTATTTCATCCGACCTTAAATCTAAGTCTTGTTGATATTATGAATCATTGTAACTTAGTTCAACTTAATTCAGTGTATAATGAGAATAACCGTCTCCTTGATCTCGTTTTATCAACAACAGCGAAAGTGCTCGTAACAACTACTGAGCCTATTATTCGAATAGATTCTCATCATCCCCCATTAAAAATTGTAATAATGAAAAATTATAATTAAAAACAATTAAACGTGCGTAACAAATAATATATAACTACCGCAAATGTAATTATTATGATTTAAAAAAGGATCTAGCAACTATTGATTGGTCTAGCTTATCGAATGAACCGGATATAAATTGTGCTGTCAATAGTTTCTACATTATCGTTAATAAATTAATTTAAATAATAGAATCAGGCGTTACTTTGCGGAAATCCATTATATAAAAGCTTTTACAAAAATTTACTTCGCAAATATCCGCGTTATAAAATAAAATGATGTGTCTTACCTAGTATGAAGAAGCACCTCCCGCCCTACCTCAATTGCGTGCACTATCTCCGTCACCACTAATCCCAGCACCGCTACTCCCAACACCACTACACTAGGCAAGACACACCACTGACGATAATACGACACGTGTTTCGCCTCTACACGAGGCATCCTCAGGTGATATAGACTCTACGGTGGCTAACCGCTAAGTGAGCGGCGAGCCAAAACAAGTGCCTCGCCTGCCAATCATCGGTTTGTATATCTGTAATCTGGTGTTCCTCAGGGTTCACATCTCGGTCCGTTATTTTTTATAATTTTTACAAACGATCTGATTTGCAAACTGTCCAGTCCTTGCCTTCTATATGCAGATGACTTGAAAATATACCGCGTGATACAGGACTTTTCCGACTGCGGTAAGCTACAAGATGATATAGATTCAATATATGAATGGGGTCGGCGTAACGGTATGCACCTCATTGTTAAAAAATGTTTTGTTATAACGTTCACTAATAAGAGATATAAACAGACTTATGACTATAAAATTAACGAAGATTCATTAGACAGGAAAACGGTAGTTAAGGACCTAGGTGTGCTGTTTGACTCGAAATTAACATTTCGTGAGCACTATGTGTACATTAAAAACAAAGCATTCCAGTTACTAGGTTTCATAACAAGATACACTAAGGGCTTCAAAAGGCCTCACAGCTTCCTGACCGTTTATTATAGTCTTGTCCGTAGCATTCTTGTATATGCTTGTGTCATTTGGTCTCCCTGCTACACGGTCCATTCAGATAGTATAAAAAGCGTCCAAAAAAGATCTCTCAGAATACTGAGCTACAAATGTGGCTTTGCTCGTAATGTAGTTAGTTATAGTGAATTACTCGACAAATTTAAAGTGACCACCTTACTTATTCGCCGTAAGGAATATGATCTTATATATTTACATAAAATTCTCCATAATAAGATTGATTCCGATTACCTCTTAAGTAAATTAAGCTTAACTACAAAGCGCAATCCTCGAATTCCTAGCAAGACATTTTACCTGCAGACTTATAAGAATAATACTTCCTCTTATAACCCGATAGTAAGAATGTGTCGACTTTACAACGAGATATCCATGAAAAGCTCCGGCATGGATGTTTTTGACCCAAGATCCAGGATATTCAAAAGAGCAGTGAAACAGTATAATCTTATGCACACTCATTCCCACATCACATAGGTTTTAAGTTTCTTATTTGTAATTTTTATTTTTTGTTTACTGTAATTATGTATGTCATAAACATTGCAAAGCGTAGAGTTGATCTCCTGTATTCCATATAAAAATGATGTGTCAACATAATATTTAGGATAACAATCTGGCACAAAACTGTTATATTTATATTATATTTTAATGTATATTGATTGTTATCTGTTTTGTTGTCCATATAATAAATAAATAAATAAACAAGTTGGATTGCCAGTTGCTTATGGAGAGAATCGGTTAGTTGGTGCCCAGGTACCTGCAGAGATAATAGAGGAACGATGGCTTTGCGCTGTAGACTGCTTCTCCTAGATAGACTAGGTACATGTAACAAACCTGCTGCCTTTGCACCAACAAATCAAGCATTAACATTTATAAGGGACATACTCAGCACGATGAAATTGACTTATTTGGAGACAGTATAACACGTCTGTTGACTCTATTTTATAAAAACATCGATAACATGACAATTAATAATTTGACAATTTTATTTCCTTGACTATGTAATATTTATTACTTTGTATTTAATATGTAGTTTCGATTATGGCCATACTAGGATTAAGATTGTAATTGACATTGAATTATAAATTGATATGACATAATTTCTTGACACAGGCTGCTAAAATCTTCGAGATTTTATATAAATATTATTTTATCATTATTTAAATTATGATTATTAATTTTTAATTATTAAGTTGTTTTTCTAAATTTTTCTCAATTTTTTTAAACTTTTTGCATGTAAAATTTAACCTTGTGTGCGTATTGAATTTTCTGTAAGTCACAAGAATTTTGGAATTAAATAAATATCAGACTGATGAAATAAGAGTCATTCAGTGCAACATAGATAAAACATAACAGTTTTAAACGTTAATATAAATTTCGAAATAAGTTTTGGTTAATGATTTCTTACATTTACGCGAATGCTCCAAATAGAATATAACAAATTTTACGGATTTTGTCGCGTTTACTTTTAACTTTTTTAATTCAGTTTCAGGTATTGGACTTAAAATATTTATTTATTAATTAATACATATATATTAATGTCTCTGATTCCGAAACTCGTTTAAACTGTATCTCGAACTGCAGTGCCTTCGGCCCTTGCGCATTCGGCATGCGCGTGCGTTGAGCTTGCGTGTATATGTGCTTGCGTGCTTGCGTGTGTGTGTGAAAATTTCAAAAAATATTGCCCCCCCTGCTTACATTTAGGAGATTAAAATATATTATTATATCTTCATATGCTTGTGCATTATAACGAAATAATGTTTTTTCTAAGGTACAAAACAAAAATGAAACCACATACTTTTACATTAATCTTGTTTAGTTTGTTCCCCAGCTTCTTACAAATATGACTGACAGTAAAACAACTCGTAATACTTTAAACATATTTATCAAATTATAATAATTGACAAACTTTTTTATTATTTTATGATATGACTACACAAAGCTAACACAAGGATAGTTTTATATATTATTCATAGAAATAATAAACCGAAACATATATTTATTACCAGACTTTTATTAAATATTGTAGTACCTATGTAATGAATGCCTCGATTTTGTATTTATTGCATTCACCAATTTTGCATTTTGCATCAATTATTTACTACATTCACCAAATACAAAACAACCACATGTGAACAACTTTTTAGTCAATAAAATATCTCTATGGCTAGCTCTTATCGTTCATCTAATAACACGTTACGTTTATCTCATACTATTTAAGATAATGCTTAAAGGTGGTACGCACATGTAGTTCCCAATTTGAAGTTAACTTCGTAATGTAATGTATGTACCAGGTACGTTAAATTTTAATGTTACTAGCTAACATTTCTTAATAATAGTTACAGCCTATATACGTCCTACAGCTGGACACAGGTCTACTCTTATTTTAGAAAGGGTTTTAGTAGGACTTAGTGGCCGCGCTGCTCCGCTGCACGTTGCTAAACTTCACAACATGTTATCAAAATATTTAATTCCTCAGTAATATTCTAGTCTGTCGCTATCGAGCACTGGATGAACAAGTGGTAGGTGTTAAAATGATAATAAATTATTAAGACTTATTTACAAAAAGGAAAGGAATTAATATGATCATTTTATCAAGAAAAGAAAACATTTACAGCATTTGCTCAACAACATGCATACAATTTCTTTAATACATTAAAATACTTTGTGTCGAGTCCAGGAGTCCAGAGTCGAGCAGGCCATACGTAGATCTAGCTCCTGGTCAGATATTCAGTGGCGATTGTCTTCCAGTCCGTGTCGTCTCCTTCGGGGTTAGGCTTGGTCTTCCTGATCCTCCTGAGCAGCTCCCAGCCGTTTGCTTTCTCAGTGGAAGTGACGTAAGTGTTGTTAGGGTCTTGCTCTATGGTATACGCTCCCAAGATCAAGCTTTGAACCAGCCTGGCCGAGATCAGCGTCTGTAAAAGTTTATTTTAGGATTTTGTAAGTTAAGATAGGATGTTGATCTGGATCTTATAGGTCCTGTGTACATGTGGGACTTAAAACAATATGCTAACTGTGTTTCTTTTTGAGGTAAAACTACTTTGCGTGCATGAGAGTAAAATTTCGAAACCGCAACATGAGAAATCGTCACGAAAAACCGTCATGTCCATGACGCTTGAGTCAGATTAGAAAGAGATAAAATATTTTTCTCTCCTCTTTGCGTGATATTCGTAGTTCAGTGTGCGTGCGCATGGTATTTTACCCCTCGTTTACACTCTCGCGCGAACGGCGAGGCGAGCTATAAGGTACGAGTGTAAACGCTAGCTCGTGGCTCGCCTCGCCACTAGCGGCATCGTAGGCGGTTTTTGGGTACAACGCAAAGGGCCTCGCGAGGGACGCGAGCGTGGTGCTTACATTATGCTCTCGTTTTAGTTTGTTTACGGCGCCCTTGCATAATAACATTCGAATTGCTTTTGTTTTAAAATTACAATTTTAATAAAATAATATTATTTAATCTTGCACAATAGGTACTAGCAATTTATATAAAATTATGAAACTAAAAAGGTTCTGTTTCAATGAATAGATATCATCCACCATATACTTCCTCAACGACGATTTTTTTTTAATTTCTTCTTTTTAAAATGGTCAAGCATCGATATATACTTATTAAGGCAAGATTTGATACTACTATTATTTCGACGTCTTTCATCGTTGCTGGCTCAACGCAAACTGAACGCATCGCGAGAGTGTAAACAGGCACTCGTTACCTCGCAACAACACGCGAGCTGCGTGGCGAGGTACGAGGCGAGGCGCGAGGCGAGAGTCTAAGCCCGATATTAGAAAGTGAGGGTAAACGTGGTGTGCCATTAGGTGTTAGTGTAAAAGACGCTAAACATTGAACCATATTTTTATCTGAATGTAATAAAGTAAACACTGCTATTGTTGGCGCTCCACCCATGATTGACACTTTGCTATTTCAATCTGAATATTAAGAACGTTTCCTTCTTTCTATATCACAGCAACACAGTTACTTCTTTGTATATAATAATTTCTTATACTAACAACACATATTTATATTCAAACCGTCAACTATCGTCCTATAACGGCTGTTTTAAAAAAAAATTATAAAAAGTTAAGGTTTTGTGGCTAGATTTTGAGACAAAAAAGTAATTTTTGGTAAGTTTATATACAAGTTTCTAACTGTTTTTATCAATTTACCTCCTTAAAGCATATTAAACGTTATTTTATCGTTGTGAAAAAGAAGCATCGGCTTTTAGTTTGGTGCCAATGGCTATACTTTATATGTTTTTTGACAATATAATGATTGTTAATTTAATATTATTATTAATTAATATATAATTAATTTTAAAATTTATGTCAATCACTATACTTTCTGGCATCAAGCTTTCATTTGTTCAAATCTTTTGCTGACACTGCCAATTACTGTAATCTTTAAGTAGTGCCAATGATTATGCCTTACCTTTTTCATATTTTAGATTGATGTAGAATACCGATAGTTAAGAGCAGGCGGAAAAATATTCAGATACAGATTTGGAAAAAGCTTTGGTAGCTATAAAAATGGTATGGAAAAAATAACAGCCGCACAAACATTTAACATTCCACGCGCGAATTTACCGTTCCCACTAAATAAGTAAAGTCAGAAATACTAAGGATCTGAAAAGTCAACCTAATGCTGACACAGTTTTCAATGTCATAAAAAATGTCAATGGGTTTTTAGATAAAAACTCCATACCAAACTGTTTTATAGAGGGAGAAAAGAATTTTTATGAGGTTGAACATGCCTAATTGAAGTCCTGCAACACTGTTCTCTGGAGAAGATGGTGAAACGGCATCACCTATGATTATTTTTCCTTATAAAAATGCGATCAGACGTTCAAAAGTTAGTGCCTAGAGGGAGGGGTATTTACTATGTTACAAACGTTATTTACTTATCACAAAATAGGTGGATAAATGCAGAACTTTTTATCCATTACAAATAAAACGTTTATTAAAACATTAGTCCTAGGATAAAGAATGTTAGTTTTTGTGATTCTTCTCGTAGATGGTGATAAGAACCACACCAATTTTGAGCTGGCATAACTTCGCCCAAGTCTGGCCATAATACTTATAGCCGTTAAGCTGAATGCAACGCAACTATTATCTATAATCAGAAATACTTGTATCGTATTTTTGTATTTTTTCATTTAATAATGATTTTTCACTACCAGAGCTTATACAAGCTGCAGAGATTATTGTTAAGTATCAGAAAGAAAACTAACTATTATGTTTTTCATCAACTAGGCAACAATTTCAAATTTTGTTGGAGGGTGATAGTGGATGCCGAAGCAAACAAAAATCTTTCAGAAAGCCCTAAAAATATTTAGTTTTTGCCATTTCCAAATAACTATCAAAAAGCAAATAAACAACACCGTTATATTGTACTAACAAGTGAAGATTGGGAAACTGCGGAGCTAGGAAAACAATGGAAAGTATTGGGCACAAATGCAAAGAGCAGAAATGAATTAGTTAGCCAAATATCAAACTGACAAACAAAACAAGACGAACAACGCCAATAACTCTGACATTATAATACCTTCTAAATGTTAGTCTTAAATTTTAATATCACAAATTCCGAAAAATTTGAAAAAATTACTAAAGCAGCAAAATTAAAAGTAACTAACCATCCAACTACAAAACAGGACGCACATACACTGCAGCCTTTATCTACAAAATGTCCAGAGACTACTGCTATTTTGTAGATAATTACTAAAACCAAAGAATATATAGAGAAAATCGATTACCAACACATATAGCAACAGGAAAACTGAAATAAAGGCCTTTTCCTACAAAATGTCGAAAAGTCACGAAAGGTTTTACTAAAAAAGTCACATCAAAAATGTATCCGAAGAAAGAAAGAAACATGATAAACCAATGAAACCGCTTTCAGATAAAGACCTAAGAAAAATATTTCAAGATGATTTCTTAAATACAAGTTTTATAACAATAGGATTGTTGTGGTATTCAACACCTTTTGATGTAAATGTTACTTAAAATACTGTTTATGCACAAAATGTTTATTATATTGTTATAATATTATTGTTACAATGTTTATAAATGTTATATGTTTATAAATGTTATGTATGTGAGCACACACGAGACAATGTTGGCGTCCGTACATGTACTGACTTAAATAAAAACTTTAAAGTAAAATGCCTACGCGTACATAATGTGTTCGGTGTAAACTGAACATCTTCCCGCACAACAAGGGAGATAAACTAAAAATACATAAAAAAGTAAAATTATTTGAGAAAAGTTAGGTATAAAATTATTCTTCATCGCGTTTAAGAATGAGAGTTCGCAATATAGGAGATGTTGCTCGGTCTTGAGTGTTGAACGCGTTCGGGACCGCGGGTGAGGACGCACGCTCGGTGCTGACGGCGACGGGTTGCGTTCTCGGGGCGGGCACTGCAGCGGCGCGCTGCGCTCTCGGGGTTCGGGACCGCGGGTGAGGACGCACGCTCGCGCGTCGCGGTGCTGGCGGCGACGGGTTGCGTTCTCGGGGCGGGCACTGCAGCGGCGCGCTGCGCTCTCGGGGTTCGGGACCGCGGGTGAGGACGCACGCTCGCGCGTCGCGGTGCTGGCGGCGACGGGTTGCGTTCTCGGGGCGGGCACTGCAGCGGCGCGCTGCGCTCTCGGGGCGGCCAGCGCAGCCACAGGAGCGGAGCTTAGACCTTCCGTGGTTATGTTATCGAGGCTAATACTTGAAGTGATAGCCGTGTTTCTTCTTTGTCGTAGTCGTTTGCAGGCAAGGCATATAGCAGCTATCACAGCCACTCCCACCAGGATGTAAATCGCGACGTAATGATGTATGTCATGGAATGTTATGTTTTCAGCGATCACATTTTGGGATTTTAGGTGTTTGATGTTTTCGTTCAAGGTGGTTAGGTTGGCTTGGAAACTGTCAGCGTCTTTTTCCAACTCTCCTGTTTCTGGGATAGAGAGCTTGATAATTTGGTTAATAGCAGCGATTTCAGGCGTATAAATTTCAGGTCCGGTTTTCAATTCACTCGTAAATATTTTGTGCGTATAGATTGATAATTCTTCACTTTTGATTGAGCAACCGGGTTCCAGCGCAATGACCCCGGCGTCTCTCAGCCGTTCCACGGTAACTTGATCACCGCAAAAAATTCTTACGTTGCATTTGTCGCACGTTGTAAATAAGTAATTGTTCGCTTTATTTAATTGAATAAACATGTTACTGCACCCGGCGATGTTTATTTGGCACTGATTTGTGTAATTATTCTTCAAACACAGATCTTCATCTGAATTTCTTTGGTATATGGGGTGTTTGAGGTGGCATAAATGTGCTGAAAAATCGTACATAATACACTCTTGTAAATCGATAGATGTCATTGGGATGTAGATATCCTTTTCTAAATTAATTGCAATGTAATCTGCAATCGGTTTAATGTTCACAAAATTGTTGGTCCGTTTATGAGGAATCGGTATAACTCTGTATAGGTTGTAATTATCTCGGCTGACCAAGGGTAATCTGATTTCAAAAATCAAGTACTTATTAGTCATCTTTGTTTTCACTTGAAGAAACTGATATATTTTTTGAAAATCTGATTGTATGTTTGATATAGGTAGAGTCAAGTCTTTAGGTATTTGTCCAGATATTGTGTTCAGTTCATTTCTCAACTGAGTAGGGCTTATGAGATGAACATCGAACCTTCCATGATATATATCGGTGATAGCGTCTGTCATCATGTTTTGTATGCTTTTCAAGTTCAGCAGTAAATTGTTCGCTATGACAGACATAGCCAAAAATTGGTTGATGTTATAAAGTTTTTCCAATTCTGTTTTTACTTTGTTTATGTTGCTGTCTAAAGCACTAATCTGTTTGTTGATAATCTTGTGTTGTTTTCTCATAACTTCTTCCATTCTTTTCATCATGTTGTATTCCGCTTCGATA